TACATTGGTTTGCACTTTAATAACAATGCTCACCCTGAAGTTCACTAAAGCATTCAGATAGAAAATAAGGTATATTGTGATTTATGGACATGCATTATATTATACCATGTTCATATGCATAACTTTCATGGCTGAAGTCCAAGTCTTTAATAAATGGATATTTACCTTCTCTAATTCACCAGCACATTTGCAAAAACTGAATTAAGTATCTCTAAAACTTAAATACTATCTTCTATATCTTAAAATAGAAAAAAAAAGAGTCTAATTAAATTGTAACAGTTTCCTATTCAATGAAGAAAAGGACCACAGTGGGTCATCTGGTCCAACCTCCCTGCTCAGGCAAGGTCTTCCTAGAGCATGTGGCACAGGATTGTTTCCAGAGAGTTCTTGAATATCTCCACTTAGAAAGACTCTACAACCTCTCAGGATAACCTCTTCCAGTGCTCTATCATCCTCACAATAAAGAAGTTTTTCTTCATGTTCAGGTGCAACTTCTTGTTCATTATTTTCTGCCCATTGTCTCTTGTCCTATCGCTTAGCATCACTGAGGAATAATGACAAATACTATATAGAAAACAAAGAATTAAGTATCATTATCTTACTTATCTCTCAGCACTTGTACCTTGGCTTCTTTCCTAAGCATGCACTTCCAGATCTGAAAGAGAATTTTTCTAAGGAAATATGAAATAAAATTGACAAAATCTATCCTCAGTATTCTTGTATTTACATTTGAGAATTTGAAACAAGTCTTTTTTTCCCTCATCTGTCAAAAAAAGACTTTTCTTAAGCATCAGTAGAAATTAATAATACTTTAGGTTTCTACATTGAATATGGAGTGCCTAATTTCCAGTCTGTGAGTAGCCTGAGAACTTTAAGAATGTGTTAAAGCTTGGCAGAACTTGAAACCTGAATGATGCACTCAGCAACAGTAAAATCAATAGAATCTGTGTTTATGTGCAATGTGGAAAGCCCATTTAATTCTTTCCTGTGAAAGGTGTACAATGTTGAATCCTGACTTTTTATTTTCTTTGAGGGAATTTATCAAAGGCATCTCTATGAATAGGCAAATCTGCTGCTCGTTATTAGATGTTCACAAGATGTAGTCTCATGAAGCTGCATATTTAATATTCTGACTTTCCTTTGATCATTGGATAGAGAAGAACTACCTTGATTATTTTTAGAATCATTGTGTAGGAACCACAAATATTTCCTCTTCTTAGCTGAATGTGAAATAGTGAAAAAACAATTTCTCATACAGAATTACACTTGATAAGATGATGATTGCAAATAGAGGTGTTCTATGACATAATTGCTTTTTACTTTCCCCAGAACAAGCAAAATAAAATGAAAACCAGATGGATGCCCAGAGCTTCTTAATAAAGTTTATAAACTGTGCCTTTTTTTCTAGGCTACTTTGGCATCGTTTAGCTCAATGTTTCACACTCATCTCAACATTAATCCCTTCAGTATTAAACATATATTTAACTAGATAACAACCAATTTTTTTATCCACTGAAAATAAATAAGCACAGTTCTAAATCATCATTATGTGATATGTTGAATCAATACATTCTTGAAACAATTTATCATACTTCACAACATACATGAATGCTAAGGGGATATTTCCACATACATTCAGTACAAATGAAAGTTCCACAGAGCATATGTAGAATCTAAAGCTACCTATGGACAACTCTGTGATAACATTTGTTTTCCTAAAATATAATAAATATTTCAGTAAATATTCTGTAAATAATTTTTTTTTTATTTATATTAAAGTCCAGTTTCTGAGATTCACAGTCATCCTCTAAAAATGTGACCCTGACAATCCTGCCTTTGCCTGAAAACAAAAACCAGACACTAAAATATCAAACTGCACAATTTTGCAATAGTACCTAGCTCCCATATAATTGCTGTTTGGTTTGCATGCAGTAGATTTGATTAGCTGCGGAAACCAGTCAGAAAGAAGAATATCAGAGAGACACTTGAAAAGTGAGCTCCTACCCCAGTACATGTAACAGTGCTCCTCCCATCTGTGTTGGGAGCCCTGTGGATAACACTGCATTCCACACAGTGGCTCTGGATAATCCATGCCTGCTCTGTTGGGCCCCAGGCTTAGGGCTTGAGCAGCCCTAATGCTAATGTGAGCAGCTGCTTTAAGGGAATGTCCCCTGTTGGCATGTCCCCCATCAGTTTGTGCTGTGCAGGTGAGTGTTAGGACAGACAGAGATGTCATTACAAAATATCAGGAGATGATATGTGACTCTCTTTCGCATAAGCAAAATAAAGGGTTCACCAACACGGAAGGGAAAAAAGGACCTTTCCATGAATGGAATTGACACATGGTGCTGTAGGAAAGTCTGCCCTTGGTCTGTGCTGTGTGAGAAAAAAGGTTGTCAGGAGACAAGGAATGCAAGGATGTATGGTCCTTTTTATAATCTTCTGTTTAAACAGCTATTTCATTACACCATGTGTTACTGGGCCTTTTTCTCTGAGACCCACAAAAAACTTTGCACTGTCCTACACCTCCCTGCTTCCACCCTCTCTTCAAGGGCAGAACACCCTATTTGTCCCTTTTCCATCCTACAGGCCTGTACAGACTCTCACACTTTCACCACCACATCTACATTCAAAAAAATTCTATTGATCTTTGCTTTTATTTTCTTGTGTCAATCTTTTTCTCTATCCATGAAAATCACTTAGCTGATCCAGAGCACTCAAAACACTTGAGACATCTGTTAAATGTGTTTTGTAGGCTGCAATTAATGAGGTATTCCATATGCATCTGGGAAATCAGAAATTGTTAGTTGATACTGTGATATTTCACATGAAGAATGGATGAGTTGAACTTGCTGTGAATAATATGAATTCATTGGTTGTTTCCTTTTTTTTTTTTTTTGGTATGTGCATTGAAAGAGATTCAAGTGCATAAATGTATTGTTATTTTCTGCCATCACATGACCTTACACACACTCTTGTGTAAACACTCAGAGTAAATGGAATTTTTTCCTGGTAGCTCTGTTTCTCTGAATGGGCTTAGAGATACCTCTTATTGTTTATGAGCACCATATATTTCCTTCCTGTATTGCAAACTCCAGTTTAACAGCTGCTCTCTTTCTTCTTGCTGTCTTTCCCCTTCAGTCTGACTAGAATTTTCAAGATAGTAATTCAAGACACTTACATAAAATTGATGACTTAGTAGCACCAGCTTTTTTTTTATCAAAGAAGTCTGGATAGTCTGCTAGGTAGGTTATATAAGGCAGAAACTACATGATACCAGTACAGTGGGAGATTTTTTGATAAAGGGACTGGAAAGAAGAAACCCTTTTTGACCAAGGGTTGCGTAAGATATCGCACAAGAAATCCCATGAGTTAAGTGGAAATGCCTATCAACCAGGCTGTCACAAGAAAATTTTATTCAATTATGAGTACATTTACCTCCTTATGCTTATGCCAGATTTTGATGTTAGGCTACAGTGTTGATACTTGGGTAAAGGGCTTGACATATGCTAGCTCTCTAAGGGGGCAATTTTAGCCATGGAATAAACATCTGGATTGCAAATTTCTGTTCTCAGAACAAGACCTTAGTGAGAAGGTCTTAATGGAATAAAACTATTGAGATCCTAAGACTGATGGATAGTCCAAACACTGAAAAGGTAAAAAATCAAAGCTGTCATTTTGTTACCACATTCAGATGAATTTCTGCAAGAATCATATATGAGGGAACCAGTAAAGATGGGACAGTATGTTCTCTGGAAAATCACTGAATGCATTGAACTCATGTTTTTGTGACACAATAGTGTCAATGTCCTGCCATGCAGAAACACCTGTGACTGATGTAACCTACCTTCTGGACTTCAAAGGATGGTTGGTACTCTCCCACAGTTTGCTTGAACTTGAGATTTCGTTCATAATTTTCACCTGCAACTACAGTGAATGGGCCTTAAATCAATGTCCTTATGATTTAGCTTCCCTGAAATATAAATAAAATTAAATTTTAAAAAATGGAAAAAGCATGCCAGTCTATTGCATAAAAATACTCACTTTGCACAATATCCTTCCTGAAATTTTGTGATAATCTATTTCTTGCATATGTAGGGAGTAAAATGCCGATTAAGATAAGGTATGCTTGCAGCATACTGCAGATATTTAATGCTATCAGTTAATTCTGACCAATATTCTACCTGTCCCATGTGAATCTGCTGAATAGATACTGTATCTTCACCTCTTGTATCTGAATTTATGATGTTTCCATACAAATTCTTAAAAAAAAAGACCCCAAACAACCACAAACCTCCAAGCAAACAAAGAAATAAACAAAATCCCCAAACAAACAAAGAACAAAACCCACATAGCCTCCCACTAGGCACACAAGGTGAAACACAGATAGTGTAGGAAAGAAGTTAGATCCAGCTGACAGGGGTTAGGAACACAGTCTGTGAAGCCCAAATCTCCTGATTCTTGGCTATGTTAAATTTCCTCAATTGCCATAAACAATTCCAGTTACAAAACACACTACTGGATTTTTCAGAACACAAAGCCTGAGGCTTGGCATACACCTTCATCTCTAGACTGGACCATGGGGGGAGAGAGTGTGTGTGTGTTTTATTTTCTTTCTTTTTAAACATGCATTCTAAAACATATAAAATGGGTAAAATTTTTTAAGTGTTCAGAATGCTACTGCAGTGCAATGTGTGTGTTTATATAACTATCACGAAAAACACAGAGAAAGATAGCTTTGAATCTGGGCTCTCCTAAACAATTTTTCTTTAACAGAGATAAAATAATGAAAAATACTTAGTTAAACTGCTGGCTAAACTCTTATTGTTTGTACTGCTCCTGGTAAAGACCCTGGGGAGCAGCAGCGGAATGTGTGCTATTGATTGGCTGGTTAAAGAGAGGCCTATTAGATTGAGACAGGCTGGATTGATTATACAGCCGCAGAAGGAGCTCTGATTCAGAGCTGAGTGAACGTCAGGGTGAGAGAGAGAGAGAGCAAGCGAGAGAAAGCGTGCAACAGAGGGAGACCGTACCCACTGTAGCATCAGTGTGTGACAGGTGGTGCCTGATAACACTGATATTGAGCTCCTTCAGTGGAGAACTTGCTGAGCTACCCTTTTTTTCATTTGCAAGAGGATGCCAGCTCTAAGCCAGTGCAATTGATGACAGACTGGATCTTGGAATAGTTCGTTTCACTTACAATTACATCTCTCATGTTCTGCTTCTCTGAAGAAAGGCTTATTACGGAAGACAAAAATTCATTCTCTCCCCTTACCTCACATATTATTGATGATATACAGAGTTTGATCTTCCAGGTAAGGAAATTATCATTTGCTTTTCTGAGCAGATAAGAAAGGAATTATTCTTTTTGTATCTTGCATGTTAAATACAAGCTTTGGCATTTATTCTCAGAATGCATTTTTGCACTTGTATTTCTTTCCCTCGCAGATTGTATGTAACAATTGTTATGTACCCATAAAGACAATTCACAGGACATGGTTTGTGCATTGCATTTATCATGCTTAACCCTGAAGGTGGATGGAATGAAACAGAAAAGATCATTTCTGACTACTTGGATAGTGTTTTGATATAACTTGTCCCATACATGCTAAACAGTCTGGAGTAATAATGGCACGCAAGCTCTCCCATGTTATTGATCCATTAGTGTACATATTGTGATGCCAGGTAGAGAGAGTATTTACCTGAAGGATTTCTCAGTGCTTGTCAGCAGTTTGAAATAGTATCTGTCTTTTCACTGCAAACATGCTGCTGCTGAGCAAATATGGTCAGCCTTAAATAATTTATCATTAGACTGCCATTTTTTAGCTATGTTGTAGTTATTACTAGCATTCTGCCTGCAAAGCAAAGATCAAGGCTTATGACTTGAAATATGAAACCTAGGATGTTCTGTTACACTGCGCTGTATGTTTGAAGCAGCCATCCCATGGACTGATTGCCTGTTTTGCTATGACATTGACTCTACCGTCTCCTAACTGCAGAGCTCCACATAAAGTTTCTATGTATTTCCTTCAGCTGTGTTTTAAGTGGTTTTGCTGTCATAGGTGGTAGGTTCTGATAGATTGCTGTGATTTTGAAGGTGATAGACTATATCTGAAATAACCCCGCTTTTGGGTTTGAAGTATGTACGTCAGGAAGTTGATTGACTGGGTGTTTACAGGCCAGGGGAGCATAACACTAAGACAGCTCCTTCATTAGCAGCACATTGCTTCCAGCTGCGACAACGTGCACCACCTTCCTCATCAGTTTGTGCACTCTGCTCCTTGTTCCATACTGCAGAGTTTTTCGTATGCCACATATTGTGATTATTCCCTCTGGGTGAAGTAGAGGCAACAATCTATTAAGGCAAGCATTTAGGTAAACTTTGACAGCCAAGTACAGTGTTCCAATGCTTTGGCCAGTTAGGAAACTGCCTATAGCAAGGTCTTGCTACTAGGAGGTGGACCTACATGTAATCCAATTTATCCAATGACTAAAGAATCACAACTATAGAAAAGCACTTTCTTCACTTCCTTTACCAAGAAATTTTTAATAAATTTCCATAAAACAGCATACTTAAATAATTAAAGGCTTCTCAAAAACCCAAATAAGAAGTGGAGTTGTCAAAATGATTATTTGTAATTTTTAAAAGACGTATAGGAATTAAGGACCTTGGGTATATAAAGATTTTTTTACAAACTAACAATAATTTCAAGGGGATATCTAAGTGACCACAAGGATAAAAATATGCAATGCTTAAGAGAAAGTTTTGTCTGCTATAATGTATCATATGAATAAACATTGGCAAAACAAACTAAGCTGATGACCCCAAACTAAAATCTTACTTCAACTATAGCATCTGTGCTCTTTTAATACCTTGTATCTTCTATATGAATAGGGTTTATGTTATTTCTTATATACATAAATGTAAGCAATTTTGATGTTTCCTTCTGAAACTCTTTCCAGGTAGCCAGACCTTCTCTTGGGGGTAAATTTTGCCACCATAGCTTTATTTTGTGGTATTTTACTCCATAAAATATTGCCAAAGGTGAGCGCTCCCCACACTGACTATGGAGTCAGAGTGCAGTATCTGACCATAAATAATGGAAGGAAACACTTTATATTTTAATTATCTGACTGAAAATTTTAACACTGAGACAAAGACATGGGTATTGAAAGCTAGATTTATCAAGCATAGACAGTATTTTATAAAGAGCTAAGATAATTGAATGTCTAATCCACTTTGTATTCTTACAGAGCTTAAGGCCTGCCTCAGTATATTTCATGTGCAATTTGACTAGCAAAAAAAGTCCTTTATGTATGCTCAAAAGCTTTCCTACATCTCTTATAATATCTCTCTTTTCTCTCTGAAAAGTCTTGTTCACTATACTGTGCTCTTTAAATGTACCTTATAATTTTCTGATTAGAAAAAATAATCATGGTAATTCTGTGATTTCAAAGACAGCAATTTTTTTTCCCTCGAGATTGATGTCTGTTACTAGTCAGGTTACATCTAAGCCATGAAACTCCAAATAACAATAAAAAGCAGGGGGTTTTGCAATGGTAATATTTCATTTGAGCCTTAAATTTATGTATCTAAAGCTCAAAAGAGAATCGAAAACCAAACAATTAGTTAAGTTGACATTCATATTTTTCTACGCATAAGATATGTTATTCATTTCCACATTAAATATTTTAATCATCTTCTTTTGTCAGATCCAGAAAAAATACATAAAAATACACAAATGAGAAAGAGTTAAGAGTTTGTGTATTACAAACTGTGCATTTTCTTTCAGGTCTTTGATGTTGTTAATGTTAATCTGGACTTTTTGCAACACTTTAAACTGATTCAGTTATGTCACCTTTTTCTCAAAAGATTAGTTTGACCTTTTGAAAATTAATGCTGTATTCCTTTCCAGCTTGAAGTCACAGAAGGCAAAATTTGTTTTTATTTTCCTAGCTAACTTAAAGCCATTAGGGGGCTCTTTCCTCCTATGCTATCACACAGCAAGCTGCAACACAAAGATACAGGTAGCTCCTAGACTTTTTTACCAAAAGAAATAATTCTTGAATTAATTTATTTTGGATGTGAATTATTTTAATAATATAGAGCAGCTAACAATCTCTCTATTTTTTTGTTCAGTTGTTGGAGAGGGTTCTGTTTATTTTGGGTATTTTTATTGCACATAGTTGAAAACTTTTACTGTCAATTAATGGTTAGGTGTAGAAGCTACTTTGTGTCCCACAAAGGAGAAGCAGGAAACACATTCAGCAAAAATTTTAAAGTAATCCCTAGGATTACTAATATGAATATGAAACATCACTTATGTCCAAGAAGCTAAAGTCTATTTATCTGAATAACTGGGAATATTGGTGCAACTAGCTTTAAAAAAAAAAAAAAAATCCATTGCACACTGTTATATTGGACTGAAAAGAACCTAGAGTATCTAGAAGTGACATACTCTTCCCTTACACAACTTGCTTTGTGATCAGGGTTTTTGGATCACTCTTTATTTCACAAAATGAGAAAGTTTCAATTCTGAAAACATTTACTCATATGAGCAGCTGCACTGAAGTTACCGTGGGCCAAATTCAACACCTTTGTTCTGCCTATTACCCTTTAGTTTCTGTAAATTCATTGGACCACTGGACCTGAAACCATTTGTGAAGTTTTTTGCTATTTCTTGTGGGTTGTAAACTTTGTGCAATGACTTGTGATACTTGGGATTCTTCAGAAAGAACTCTAGAATAATCTACTGAAGGCTAAGGAAAAGAATTTAATATGTTCTAAAGCACAGCAAGGTAGTTGTAAACACTGTCATGTCATGCTGAGGTGAGGCCAGGAGAAACATGAATGTCAAAAGAGAAGCAAAATAATTGTACCCCTGTTCCAGTTTTGAAGAATTTTTTTATTCCTGCCATCCTTGAATGAAAAAAATTCCCACGTTCGTAAATTATTTTACCCACACTAAACCAACTTACTACTTTAAATTGTATTGCTTGGGGAGATTCCAATACTGCCAACTCCATTCAAGAAAAAAATAAAAGAAAATAAAAAGGACTGACACACTTTGTGATGTTTGACATTCACCGTGAAGAAGTATAATCCAGTCAAGTTGAAATGAAAAAAGAAAAGTTAAAAAAAAATGTTATTTCTGGGTTTTACTGCACATCTGAATAATCTCTCATTTTGCATCCTCTTATAGCAACTGTCTTGTGATGTATCAATAAAGAACTTTGTTCTACTAAACAGCATCTAGAAATTCCAACCAGAACCTCAAGATACTTTGTTTTTTGCTGTACCTAGACAGTTCATCTAATATAATGAAATTGCTAACAATATGGAATAAATCAAGTATTATTTCTTAGGTAGATAATTGATGCTTCAAACTCTAAGATTATCTCCAATAGATATATTATTAGCACATTGCAAATTCAGCATCATACAAATTATCTTTCTGTTTGTAGAAGAGGGCTTATTCATTACTAAAAGGTGGCTAAAGTTAACTATGATTTGCTTGCATTTCAAGTAATTAATTTTGTACACATGAACAGTCATCAAAGCTGAGATGGCATTATTATTATTAGTAATTCCTCAGGCACAGCATTGCCAGTCAGTCAAAGGAGGTGATCGCTCCACTCTATTCTGCACTGCAATGATCTTACCTGGAGCCTTGTGTGCATTTTTGGGTACCATAATATAAAAAAGGTATAAAGCCATCAGGGAGCATCCAAAGGAGGTCCATAAAGATGGTGAAAGGTGGATGGATGGGGACGGCACACAAAGAGGGGCTGAGGTCACTTGGTCTGTTCAGCCCGGAGAGGAGGAGACTGAGGGGAGACCTCACTGCAGATACAACTTCCTTGTGAGGGGAAGAGGAGAGGCAGGCTCTGAACTCTTCTATGTGGTCACCAGTGACAGGACCTGAGGGAATGACATGAAGTCTTCTCAGGGGAGGTTTAGGCTGGATATTAGGAAAACTTTTTTGACCTAGATGGTAGCTGGGGACCAGAACAGGCTCCCCAGGGAAGTGGTCATGGCACCAAGCCCAACAGAGCTCAAGAAGCATTTGGACAATGCTCTCAGACGCATGGTGTGATCCTTAGGTTGTCCTGTGCAGAGCCAGGAGTTGAACTTTGATGATTCTTTTGGTTGTCTTCCAACTCAAGATATTCTATGATCATGTGACTTTTTTTAAGGTTCAAATGAGACCAAACAAATTGCTGGAGGAATGACAGGAAGTGTAGCAGAAGCAAGGAGCAAAGACCACTTCTTGGTTGGAGTCAAGCACCCTAGTAGCAAGACTCTTTTCTCCTC